CCTGACACTCCTCATCGTACCAGTTGTTCTTTTGGGCTCGATAAATCTGACTACTTCTTCGGCGGCGGTACTTTATGTAAGAGAAATATGGTTCCGGCGCTTACACAATATGTTAAGGCTGATTCACATACAAATTTCTTCGCTTTGCTTGATAGTTCTTTGCTTTGACAAATAAGATCGATGTAGGCATATGCATGAGTATGCTCACATAAAACACGTTTGAAGCAAAGCAAAGCAAAATGAAGCAAAATCATGGGCAACTCTCAACTTTTGCCCGCTTTGGCAATCAGCTGACTACATGTATCTTTTCTCGTGCGCCTGCATATGGATTTAACAACAAAAATAGGGTAAATAGGAGTTTTTATTGCTATTATTAATGCATATTATTATATAGCTATCTATTTTACAGATAAAAAATATGGAGGAAAAGGAGAACGCAAAAGCTGTCAAAGCGTTTATTGTAGCATACCTTCTGCGTTTCACGCTTTGTTGTCAAAGTTTGAACTGTCAAGCAAAGCGAGGAAAGTTGTATGTGAATGGCCCTTTAGTGTTTGACCGAACTTCTCCTCCGATTTGTCGCGTGGGCCTTAATGTTGTGGCACAAAGGGTGTGCCTATAGTTTTATGTCGACTCTGAAAGGTTTTTTTCGTTTTCAAGGTTTGCGCACTTCTAACCACTAAATCAAACGGCCTATATCTATGCGAAACCATGGTGAAATGAACTGAAGGTGGCGCATTCCCGAAACCGCTACTTTGGTTTTGCCGACTTTGACATTTATGGCAATACGTAAACAAACTTTTTGTTTAGAAACAAGTGCAAACGTTTTGCAAACGTATTGTGTACTTTCAAGTGAAAAATCGAAATAATTCGTGCGTTCTGAAGTAAAAAACGTTTTATTTGTAATAAAAATGTCGTGTCGTGTGTTGAATTGCAGCAGCCGTAGGGGTTAAGCCACCAAATGCAGTTTTTTTTTTTTTGTTTCCCCGCGACGACGCCTTGGCCAGAAAGTGGGTAGAGTTCTGCCGGCAGGAGAAGCCATAAAATTTAGACACCAGCGTAATATGCATGAAGCACTTTACGGACCACTTTTGAACACGACATGTTAAGTTGAAAACGTTGAAATACCACAAATTACAAATTAAAATCGGAGGTAAGCAAGCATCGACCACTTTCTGCAGGAAAACATGCGCTGCGACAAGATATTATCACTTTTTCGGCACCTGCAATACAAACACAAAAATTCTAAATAGTTAATTAATAAGACCTATTCTTTTTAACACATTTCAAGTGTGGTTGTATATTTTTTGTTAACGTAGTGCTTAATTTGCTATATTAAAAGATGGCTTGAGAAATTGGTGAATCGAGAAGAAAACACGTTTTCTCACTGCAAATTCACAACTGTCAACTCATTGTTCTTCGCCATATTCTTTGTTTATCCGTTGCCACAAATGTCATTCTGCGGGAATGCGCAATCTTGTATTCTATCGTTCTTGATGCGAAACCTATATTCGATAAATTTTTTGGATTTTGGTATCGATATTTGGAATATCGAGTCTTTTTATTCCGATATTAATGGGTACCCGATATTTTTATAGCGATACTTTAAATGAGTACCATATCGATACTTTCGGTTCGATATCGTGTCCCTAACTCCGGGGTTACCAATCTAAAGCCCACCACAGCAGGCTTTACAGAATCCAGCCGCTGGTACTCTATCCGAAAAAATATCGTTTTAGAACTATCGATTAAAAAGTATCGGTAACGAATGGCAAAATTATCGATATGATATCGTATCGTAACGTATTCGTGTACCTAGACAAGATATGCCATTTTTGTATTATTTTTAAACGTCTGTGTTTTGAGCTGCAAGGTTTATCGAAGAAAACAATTAGTCACTTTTCGTTAATACTTTCGTAGTCACGATTGTCGGTATATTGCAAATAAGAGGCTTTAACTGACATGGGTCAAAAAGTTTCACGTACTGATTTCGAGTGGGTATATACGGAAGAACCCCACGCTACCAGACGCAAACTGATTTTAGAAAAATATCCTCAAATAAAAAAGCTTTTCGGATATGATCCGAAGTTCAAATGGATTGCCGGGGCCATGGTATTGCTCCAGATGCTTGCTTTATTCGTAGTAAAAGATATATCTTGGCCTTTGTTAATAGTCGCAGCATATTGTTTTGGAGGCATTTTAAATCACTCGCTCATGTTAGCGGTGCATGAAATATCGCATAATTTGGCCTTTGGACATAGTCGTCCAATGCACAATCGCATCTTGGGCTTTATATGCAATTTGCCTATTGGACTACCTATGTCGATTTCTTTCCGCAAATACCACCTTGAGCATCATAGGTAAGTCGTATCAAGAATTTCATTCGTTGGGTGGGCTTTAGTAGTCAGCCGCACCTTGTGTTTTAAGAAAACCAGGTGGAATTAACAGTTTAAACTTGGTCAGGATGTTAAGGGAGGTATCCTCTAAAACATGTATAACTAAAAAATATAAACAATATAATTGTTTATAAGTTATTTGTTGTTAAAATTTCTTAAGACGTTCCACTTGATTTCCTTGTCAAAGAGTGCATTCGTCACATACTTTCATATGTATAAAGGCAGGCAGTTGGGCTCCAAATCTCAAATTAAATAAAAAATAATATACGCCCCCACTAGAAAGGGGACAGTCCGCGCTTTCTAAAAAGGCGTACCCGTACTCCCCCCTTGGGCTCCTCCCATAGTCCCCTAGGGAACCGTTTGAAAAAGGGGGAAAAACGGAATTTTCTTAGGCAAACTGAGCAGTTTGAAGTGGAATATGACCCAACTAACAGAAACCGTGGGATTTATTAATAAAAGAAATTATGCCAAATTAGATATCGGGTGGTTTTGAATAAAGAATAAAAAAGTTAATTGAAAATAGAAAAAACAAGTTTATAAAAAAAAATGTTCTTTTTAACAAATGTATTTTTGCGTAGAATTCCTTTCTGCGTAGGCGGCCTTCGGCCCCACTTAGGGATTATAACCCTCAGGCAGTAGAATTCTCCTTTCTGTGTTGCCAAAGAAGGGGGGCTGAACACCTCTTGCAGAGAACACCTTTGTGCGTAGGCCGCACTTAGGGATTATAACCCTCAGGCAGTAGAATTCTCCTTTCTGTGTTGCCAAAGAAGGCGGGCTGAACACCTTTTGCAGAGAACACCTTTCTGCGAAGGCGACCTTCGGCCGCACTTAGGGATTATAACCCTCAGGCAGTAGAATTCTCCTTTCTGTGTTGCCAAAGAAGGGGGGCTGAACACCACTTAGGGATTATAACCCTCACAACGTAGAATTCTCTTTCTGTGTTGTTGTTTGTCCAAAAAAAAAGTATACAGTTATACTCAGCTGTAACGATACTTGTTGTATTAGTCTAGTTTCTTTATTTGCTCGATTATAAATTCAATTCTATAAAAAAGATATACACGTATTTCTGATCTTATGTCTTGATACCGCGTGGTCAGATAGATGATTCTCGAACCTGTTCAGCTGTCATTCTCTTCTCGTGTTGCTGCTTCTTCTGTTTCGTATTTCAGGGTTGCCAGATGATCCTATATTATGACATCCCCTTTGATTTAAAGTTTTAGTAGACCTCGTAATCGTCAAGCTTTCTTGGAGCTCTACATTCTCTCTGTGATCTTTGACTTGGTTCGCCATCTTGTTGACGGTTTTCGAAAGTAGTCTTCCGACGGGGGGCACTTCCTTCGGCTTGTGGATTTTGCTTGAATTCTTCCTGATTTGACTGGGGTTCCGTTGACTGACTTGCTCGTGTTGACCGTTGGTTACTTTGTTCCGCCTTTTGAGGTACTTCACGCTGTTCCTTCATTTGGTACCTGGAGATGAGGCTGTGGTTCCTGAGGTTTTTGATGAGGTGGTTCGATAAGGTGGTCGTTTGCCATTTGAAGGTGAGTCTGTGATTCGTGCGACTTCCGTTTCTTGGTGTTTGGTTTCATTATGTGAATAGTGTTTCGTCTATATAGTTTGTTTTTTGCGTTTATGACGAATGATCGTTCGGCTACTTTTTGTTCGATTTTCCCTTTAACCCAACTTTCTTTTGGATTTCGCTTTATGTATACCTCGTCTCCTATTTTTAGATCTTTCTCCTTTTGTGTTCCTTTGTCGAAGTATTTTTTGTTATATGTCCGTTGTTGTTTTATTTGATTTGGTACGTCTGGTACTACTTCTTGGTTTAGATTAGTGGCCGGAATGTCGCATCTTAGCCATCTGCAAAACAGACGTTTGGCTGGGCTGGAGCCGATGTTGTTTGGTGTATTTCTCCAAATTAGTAATGCTTTGTAGAAGTCCGAGTTCGTGGCTAAGGTCTTTTTCAACAGGTGTTTCGCGATCTTTACAGCTGCTTCCGCTTTCCCATTAGCTTGTTGGTGATGTGGGCTTGACGTTTGATGATTGAATTCCCATTTGTCTGCGAATTTCCTGAACTCTGAGTTCATGAAGTTGGTCCCATTATCTGTAATGACTTTGCCGGGTACACCATGTCTACTAAGTGTGGCTGACAAATTATCTAACTCATCGATTTCAAAAAAGTCTGAATAGTGATCCACGGTGATTAGAAAATATTTTGTTTTATTTTTTGTCGGAAACTCGAAGACGTCCATGGAAATGATTTCGAATGGAGTGCGGGGAATCACGGGAATTATTAGTGGTTCTCGTTGCTGTAGTCTTGCATCTACGTTGCATATTTCGCAGGCTTGGATCATCTGTTTGATTTCGTCGGTAATGCCTATCCAATAAACGGTTTCTCTTGCCAGTTTTAGTGTTGATTCCATGCCTTGGTGTGGTTTGTTCAATATTTCGCGTCTCATTTGTGGTGGTACTACAAGTCGATTACCTTTAAAAAGCAAATTATTGTTTGTTATTAACTCGTCTCTTACTTTCCAATATTGTTTGATGTTGTCGTTCACTTTTGACTTGTCCTCGGTCCAACCGTCTTTAATCGTCTTTATTAAAATTTGCATAACGTTGTCTTTGGTACTAATGGGTTTATCTTCGATGTCATTAATGTTGTTCAATTGCCTGAATTCTTTGTCGATTTTGTAGATTTCGACGCAGCTCTGAGAGTGACAGTCTTCTGGTGCCCGGGACAATGTGTCGGCTACATAAATTTCGGCTCCTTTCTTGTATTTGATTGTAAAATTATATTTCTGTAGTTCTAGGATCATTTGTAATCTTTTCGGGGTTTTCAAAAGTTGCTTTTTGAATATGTTGA